CACATCAGACACTTGTATAATATTGTCCATTGTCAGGAGGGTCTGTGCAGTGTGGTCCACCTCAGGTTTTTGGTGGAGAAAAGTAGATGCCAGATGGCCTTGGCCATCTCCAGTGTGTCCCTCCCTGTCCATGCAAAGGGAAAGGGGGGAAAGGACACTGAAAAAAACAACTGGTAAGATTTACTTAATATAATCTCTGTAACAATGTTTAAGTAAATATTACTGCTGAAATATCAAGTACAACTCAGTTGCCAGTATCAAGTCAAATTTACTCACCACTCAACTAAACTTTAGTAAAAATATAAAGTAAATGTTGTTTAATTATTTCTACATTACAAGTTATATTTAGTTTAACTGAGTAAAGTCAATTATATATTTTCATATACGAGACATTGCTGTCATAAAAATATAAAGTAAATCTTATATATCAGTGATATTTACTGTGATGAAGTCAATAGGTACATTTTATTACATTTATTCTGTTTGACATTTTAAATTCCTTCTATGTCTGCAGATATATTATTCACTACAATTATGTAAATGTTATTTTGTTTTGATGAATTTGACCAAATCAATGTAATCATTTTCTCTATGCATATACTTTTACCACAAAGCAGCAACTGAAATACAATATATAATGAAATGTTTTATTTTGTTATTAACACCAATGAATCACTAACATTAACATTAAAGTTGAAATGTACAATTCAACTGTGTAACATGCATTCAAAGTGAAGCAGCAGCCAAAAATATAACATGGCATTAATGAGAAACACATGCATATTCCCATTGATATGCTCTTGCTCTGTTGAAAACGTTTGGAAAAAAATGAAATAAAAATATCATTGTAATTACAGTATACACTGCATTTCTTTAGTTTTCTCCCCAAGATACATAAAGAACAATAAAAGGCCATATCACATGACAAGAAGAAGGTGCTTTTTTAAATATTCAGTTAAAACCTTACAACAGTGCAAATTCACACTTTCAATTCTACTTTACTCTGATGATTCTGACATATGTGAGAAGCACAAGGTAACATGTATCTACTGGGTGTTGGCTGATGTTCCCTCTATGAAGGTGTACATCATCAATGTATGTAGTTGTTTTGTATAAGGCAGATGATGTTAAGAAATGGAGTTATCCTTGAGTGAGAGGATTTGTGCTGTGTGTGCATTCATATTGGGAAGAGTGCGTGTGGTAAAAAAAGGGAGACAGAGCAGAGAAAAAGCACAATTTTTACCAAACACACCTGACTCAGTTTGTCCAAGAATGGCCTCAGCTTGGTCCCCAGACCCTCCCTTGGCCTTCATCAGACCGTTTCGCCAGTGGCGGCTGGCCAATAGAGGGCGCTAGGGCGCCGCCCCCTTGAGCCACGAAAATAAAAAATAAATAAAAAATTAAAATAAATAAAAAAATTAAAAATAATAATAATAATGATAAAAATATCAGTATGTCAATAGTTGTGTGTTTGAAATATGGAATGCAGCCAGTAATATGTGTAAAATATCCTCTGCCTGTCTGAAGCCTCATCAGCTCTGGCCGATAGAGAAAGCGCCCCCAGGAGGCGGGTCGATGTAGCTGTTAAGCCAATTGCTAATTTAAGATATGAATGTATGACATTAAATTCAGCCAATCAGCGTCCTTAAATCAAATCCAAGGAGGGAGATTATTTTATCGCCCCAAGCTCGCCTCTGATAAAATAAGGACCGGGCTCTAGCGGCGCCATTTTTACTAGACGACAATGGCGAGCGCGAACTTTAGTCCTCCAAGACCAAGACCCAACCCTAACTCGGTGGAATCTCTCCTCCAAGATCCGTTTAAGAGGAGAACTTTGTCGGAGAAAGTTGGGGTGAAAGGGCTGGGCCCAGATCAACCTGAGCTCTCAATCAGACAGCAGGCTAGAGAGAAAGGGAAGCAGTATATGGCGGCAGCTTCTCCCGTAGCCGGTACACCGGGAAGGCTTGGCTAGCTGGGTGCACTCACGCTTTTTAAAAGGACGGGGACAGATCCAGCATGGACAGTTACCGGAGTGAGGGATATGAAGCACCTGTCAGAGAAGGTGATGTTTATGTTTCTCTGTAATAATGGTAAGGTATCGACCGACACAACATAGTATCCAGTAGTATCCAAACTGCGCCTGTCGATACCTGCAATCGGTTCTTTTTGTACCCAGATCAAGAGATCAATGACTGTTTCTATGGTTTCGCTTTGTATGGCGGTAAAGCTTGCAGCTTAGTCTGGGGTGGAGTTGGCTGGTCAGCATTCTGAGATTTCTTGTGACCTATCAACATATGGATAATTTAAATATTCAAATGAGCCATGTGTTGATTGCTGATCACCTCAGTTGCTAGGTTACCACCAGGCTGTCAATCAAGCTCTCAGTAACAGAACATAATGTGAGCTAATGTCGGTTGTTGGACTGAAATTCTGAAAATGCTCATACAGAAACAGAAGGTGCTGTATTTGTTTTACCCTTTATCTATCCAGATAAAAACATTAAGAACAGTTTCTGTATATTGGTTATTAGACCTATGTAATCTGAACTGGAAGGGCACGTTGTCATGAGCTGTATCTTGTATATTTATTATTAGCTATGTGGTATGTGTATGCACCTTTATGTAATCTGGTGGGAAAACATTAAAATTTAAAACCGGATCATACCAAACAAATATCTGCTTGTGTGTCCCCGTGTATGCAAAGTGTCCTCCTTTTTGATGTGAAGGAAATGGCCACCCTAACACAGAGCAACCGTCGATAACTTCAGGTAGTATGTAATATGTAATATATATATATATAATTCTTCGTTGTACATGTTTGTACAGCTATTAAATAAATATTTGAGCACTTTCAAAATGTATTCGTGGAGTGGTGACATTTACAAAGTAAAAAAAATGTATCGAATGAAGTACTCAGTTGGTATCAGTATCGTGTTAAGGGTACTGGTATCGGTACTGGTATCGAACATTTTTAAATGATAGCCAGCCCTACTGACTATTTCACTGAGCACTGGTGTCCTGCAGTTTATGTTAAATTGTATTGCGATGGTTACAGAAACAAAAAAGTATGGCACAGCCCCACCGACAATATTTTTCACCAGCCGCCACTGGGATTCGAATTGAGTTCTGAAGGCATGTTGTAAAACTATTGAGTTTTAATAAAAGATGTTTTGTTGCAGCTCTGACTCTGGTTTTATTTAACAGGTGAAGAAAATCTAATGTTGATGAATTTTGGAGTAACAGCAAGCCTGGTCTCATTCAATATGCATATTTTGCAAAGCTGCTAATGTGAAAAAGAAAAATGAACAGTAAAAACATTCTACAACAACATATTGTATTGTGAAGTATTAACAGCTATTTACTGGCAACTTTAGTTGCCAGGTAACCTCTGTAATTTGAATAGAATACAAGATAATGTTGTAAACTAGATTTTTCCAAGAAAAAAAACAACAACAACAACAAATTGCTGTAATTTATATTCAACAAAAACCTGTAAAAGTGATCCTGTAATATACTGTAATCCTTTTTACAGTAATTAACAGCAATTTTACTTTACTGGCAACTTTTTCTGCCAGCTATTTACTGTAAATTCTACAGTCAATGTGTTACAGTGTATGCTCGCACTGTGCTTTCATTATAATTCAATTTATTGATCGATAGTTAATAAGTTTTTACCTCTTTCCTCCCGTCTCTCCTGTCCTCGCGACTCCTGGCTCCCTCGCTTCGCGCCACTCAGTGTTTCCAACCAATCAGTGTCTTGCCGGCCGCTCTGACGTTATCTCGTGCTGCATTCAGTGCAGTCGGACATTGGAGATTCACGCTCGTAAATGTCAAATGCCGTAACTTTTCTTTTAATTCGTTGCTGCCAACTGGGGTGGCAGCAGGGGTGGCAAGGCTTTCTTTTAGGGTGGCACTTGCCACCCTATGCCACCCCGGTAGATCCGCCCCTGCACAAGTTGTGTAAAGTTGTTAAGTCGTTCATCTAAGTCATGTTACCAGGATAATATAATAATAATAATAATAATAATAATAATAATAATAATAAAAAAAAAAAAAAATATAGATCAAATATTTTGGTAAAGTTAAAAAGGGCAAAGGTATTTTTGTAATGATGGCCTGTTATTGTTATGTATACTTTGTGTTTAAGAATTTAGTAAAAATGTGAACAGCTTGGGCTTAAAAGTATTAATGCTACTGTAAATGTGGTGTTGGACCTAAATAGCAGTCACTGTTGGTGAACAATGGTACAAATTAGGAGTTTGAATTTGATTTCTGTTTCATTCAGCAGTCATTTTGTACATTTGTAAAATGTCAGTCCAGTGGGTTAGTATATGAACCTTAAAGCTTGATGTCATGTAAATTGCAAAATGAAGATTGTTGTGAACAAAACACTAAGTTGGTTTAAATGAAGTGAAAAAGAAAGATTCTGTTAAATAAAAACAGAGAACAGCCTGCTGAGCGATCACAAGTAACGTCTCCTGTCTCTGCTTTTCCTGCACAAAACAGGATACTATACCTGCTTACAGGTAACTCATGCTTGAGGCCTGTAACATTTTGATAGTTGTTTTATGATTTAATAATCAGTGAGTAACTTTTGGATGTTTTTCTTCATGTTGCCATCTTGAGCTGTTTTTCCTCTTTGTACAGGAAGAGAAGTTAGACACAGTGAATCTTTTACTCCTTTCCAGTCAGTTTTTATCCATTTGAATTTGACATTTTCAGTGTGTGAGTGGAGAGGACTACAACTGCATGTTATTGTGCAATCCTGTGTTGTATAATGACAATAAAACAGAACTTTAAACCCTCGATAACCCCTCCCTCTTCTTCCTGATTCAAACACAGCGAGCTACACTCTGTTCATGTATTTCCTTGTTCCCTCCCCTTCAGATCTACAGTTTGTAGATGGGTGTAACCAACATGAGCAAGAGCTGACAGGCCCCATTCACTGCAGAGACACATGTTGTTGAGATCAGAGCTCAACCCGGCCTCATTTATAAGGAAGTGAAACTCAGACAGTCATTGTCACTGAGAGGTGAAATGGCGCAGAAAGGAGTTCAGCTGGACCGAGAAACCTTCTCTTGTTCCATCTGTCTGGATCTACTGAAGGATCCGGTGACTACTCCCTGTGGACACAGCTACTGCATGAACTGTATTAAAAGCTACTGGGATGGAGAGGATGAGAAGAAAATCCACAGCTGCCCTCAGTGTAGGCAGACCTTCACACCGAGGCCTGTCCTGGTAAAAAACACCATGTTTGCAGCTTTACTGGAGGAACTGAAGAAGACTGGACTCCAAGCTGCTCCTGCTGATCTCTGCTATGCTGGATCTGAAGATGTGGCCTGTGATGTCTGCACTGGGAGAAAACTGAAAGCCCTCAAGTCCTGTCTGGTCTGTCTGGCATCTTACTGTGAGACACACCTCCAGCCTCACTTTGACTCACTTACCTTTAAGAAACACAAGCTGGTGGACCCCTCCAAGAAGCTCCAGGAGAACATCTGCTCTCGTCATGATGAGGTGATGAAGATGTTCTGCCGTACTGATCAGCAGTGTATCTGTTATCTCTGCTCTGTGGATGAACATAAAGGCCACGACACAGTCTCAGCTGCAGCAGAAAGGACTGAGAGGCAGAGAGAGCTCGAGGTGAGTCGACAAAACATCCAGCAGAGAATCCAGGACAGAGAGAAAGATGTGAAGGAGCTTCAACGGGAGGTGGAGGCTATCAATCGCTCTGCTGATAAAGCAGTGGAGGACAGTGAGAAGATCTTCACTCAGCTGATCCGTCTCATGGAGAAAAGAAGCTCTGATGTGAAGCAGCAGGTCAGATCCCAGCAGGAAACTGAAGTGAGTCGAGTCAAAGAGCTTCAGGAGAAGCTGGAGCAGGAGATCACTGAGCTGAAGAGGAAAGACGCTGAGATGAAGAAGCTGTCACACACAGAGGACCACACCCAGTTTCTACACAACTACCCCTCACTGTCAGCACTCAGTGAATCTACATCCAGCATCAATATCCGTCCTCTGAGGTACTTTGAGGATGTGACAGCGGCTGTGTCAGAGCTCAGAGATAAACTACAGGACGTTCTGAGGGACAAATGGACAAACGTCTCACTGACAGTGACTGAAGTGGATGTTTTACTGTCACAACCAGAGCCCAAGACCAGAGATGGATTCTTACAATATTCACGTGAACTCACACTGGATCCAAACACAGCACACACACTGCTGTTATTATCTGAGGGGAACAGAAAAGTAACAAAAATGAGTCAACAACAGTCTTATTCTAGTCACCCAGACAGATTCACTGGATGTGTTCAGGTCCTGAGTAGAGAGAGTCTGACTGGACGTTGTTACTGGGAGGTGGAGTGGAGAGGGAGAGTTGATGTAGCAGTCGCATACAAGAATATCAGCAGAGCAGGGAGCTTATATGAATGTGCATTTGGAGGCAATGACAAATCTTGGTCATTATATTGTAACAATAACAGTTATAACTTTTATTACAACAATGTAAAAACTCCTGTCTCAGTTCCTCAGTCCTCCAGAGTTGGAGTGTATCTGGATCACAGTGCAGGTATTCTGTCCTTCTACAGCGTCTCTGAAACCATGACTCTCCTCCACAGAGTCCAGACCACATTCACTCAGCCTCTCTATGCTGGACTTTATCTTTATCTTGAATCCACTGCTGAGTTCTATAAACTGAAATAGACAGAAGTCATTTCAGGGACTTTGTGTTAAACTCTGAGTTTGAATCCTTAAACTGATTTTGTCTTCATGTTTGTTGCTGAGAGCTGATTGTTGTGGCGTTTCTTCACTGCACAGAGATCAGCTGTCAATCAAACATTGTGGGCGGTACTTTGACATCTTCTCATTAGTTGTCCTGTAAATGTTTGAGTGTGTTTAGGTGGCGCTCCTTCCTGTGTCTGTTCAGCCATACATTTTTTGGTGTAGTAATATTTATTAGGTTAACTGTCACAATTGTTATTTTCTAATTGTAAGTATCAGTGAGAACTGGAATTATTCAAGTAAAACTATATATGTCTTTCATGTAATAAATAAACTGTGTGGGAAGAGTAAGTTTTATTGTGTATTTTCACATAATATTCAAAGGTTTCATAGTCATTGCCCATGAACTTAGAAATACCAAGTAAGTTTTAATAGTGTTTGTAATAATGTTTTGAATCCGGGACTGACTGTATAATTAATAGTTCGCTAGATGCTGTGGATAAATGGCGGGTTTGCCAAAATGATGAGTTTCCTTCGCATAATGAACTCAAGGCAACGACAGAGTACACAACCGCTACACATAGGAGGGGAAGGGAGGAGAGAAAACGTTTCAAATATCCGCAGCGTCGGTTTGGAGAGCCTCTACCAGACCTCACCAAAACCCTGCTGCTAATCATTATTTAAGCTAAAGAGGAAGCTATGGTTTTTGTTCATTTGCAGTGTACTCGTAGTTTGCCACAAATCTAAAATCTTACTGAGACAGAGCAAACAGAGGTCAGGAGAGATGTTCATTCCCACAAAATGTCACTCAGTTTATCAGGATAAATATGATTTCATTTATTGGCATTTCAGATTTGTTTCTTACTGTGGCTGTATATTTTTATTCCATATATGAAAATACTTTATGTGTCTTATTTCAACTAAAAGAACCACCACTTGTAGAAATGATGCACTTTCCATCTTTTTGAGTTGTTATAGAGCTACTGATGAGCCTTAAGTATCTGAAATTCAGATTCATTTGTGGAAATTGGAAAAAATTCAAATGATCTATCCAAAAACATTTCCTGTGATCATTTTCTTCCACATGCTTCATAAGGACCATCACCTTGTTTGGATCCCTTTCTTTCTAATCCCCTCGTCTATATTTTGCTCATAATTTGATATGAAGCCTCATTGTTCTCTATTCTGATTCCGTTTACACTGTTTCAATTTGGATTCTGCATTATTCTTGATGCATATGACACAGCTCTCTCTCAACAACGTGAATCTAGACCAGCAATGCTCTTGGAGGAGAGGAACAGAATCACAGCGGCAAAAATGCAGGATTTTCTTCATTTAAGATTTAACACATGTGGAAATGGGTGTAATGTTTTAGATCAGAGCCATATTTTCAAATATTATCCAAAATACATTGGTTTGACAGTGGTACAGTTCATTTTGGTTACATGATCCTCTAGTTTTAATGTAGTATTTCTTGTAGTATTCTGTAGTTTTAATGTATTATTTTGTCTTTGTGTTTTTGTCCTTAAGCCCAAAGCAACAACTTTGTACAGTTGACACAGTGCCATCTCAAACAGCAACTACAGCAAGCTGTGTCACAAGAAAAGCCATCTGGCTATTCAGGTAAAAACAAAATTGTGTAGTGCTTTGCAATTCATAAGTTGTAAGAGGTTTACCATCATCACAGAATATACATACTATTCCAAATGAAAATGAAGCAGAATATGTACTATGCACCTGAACATGGATTCACATATATTTTACAGGATATCAGCAGAGAGGAAGTTCAAGAGGACCAGGCTGAGCAAGTCCTGAGGATCTGTGTCTTCCACACAAGTGAAGAAGATGAAGGTGCATCCGACACTGATGTGTCCATTGTTATTGAAGGGACTGAGGTACTTGACAACTATGGAAGTGTTACAAAGGCCTGTCTCCTGCTCATGAGCATCATTTATGCCAGGAATTTGAGTTACCCCCCAAAAACAAAGTACACTTTGGAAGTTTTTCAAAAGCTTCTTCTAGAGCTTGATGTCCTTAAGCTGTCCCCGAAAATCCTGTCTCTGCGAAACAAACTTGAGTCTGAGTGCACATGTATACGGCACAGTTGTTAATGTGGCTATTTGTCTATTTTCTTATTTTTCTCTCGTTTTAATGATGTCATTTTTATTTGAACTTGTTGCACTGTATTAAATACTGTATGTGGCCATGTGGAGTGGCTACGTTTTGGGGACAAAAGAAAAGAAGTTAGATCAGCATTTTCAAGTTAAACCAGAGGTTCTCAACTGGTGGCTCGTGGGGCCATTTTTAATGGGTCACGGATGTGAGTGTGGGCATGAAAAGAGCGAGGGGCCAAATATCGCACTTTTTAGTGTCAAGATGCTCTGCTTTTTGTAGGATATTACTCATGATACAGAAACAGACGTTTAGAACCTCAGAGCAAAACACTGTTCTTTAAGATAAAAAGGAATAGTAAGCATGTCTTTTAAGATGCACCAGCATGTCAAATGTTTTCCAGAGTTTAAGGTTAAAAAGCCTCTCCAAACGATAGGCTACGTATGCTCTATGCAAACAGTTCCTGAACTTGTCCTTGTGCCTTTAACAAGCTACCTCAAACCCATTTTAGCCACCCTAAGATGAAATTTCTGTCATCGTCTACTCACCCCGATGCCGATAGAAGGACTCATCATGCTCTTCTGGGAGTTTGCCGAGATGTTTGTTTCTCACAAAACTGCATTGAACGGCAACTTGGCTTCAAACATCCAAAAAATGTCTCCATATTGCTCATCTGAAGTAATCCAAGTGTCCTGCAGCTTACACATTCCTAGATGTTTTGAAAAACAGAACAAAATTGTGTTTTGGCTTTGTTTGCTCTGCTTTGCTTCCACTGTGGTGCTGCGTGAACACGGATGGGCTAGCTGGAAGTTAGTAGTGTGTAAGTTTGTGTGCGGCGTTGGAAGGAGCACGCATTGGAAGAGCAGCAGAGCAAACACAGCTGAAAACACAAGTTTGTTATGTTTTGTACAAACGTCTTGGCATGTGTGAGCTACAGGACACTTGGATTACCTCAGACAAGCAGTATGGAGACATTTTATTGATTATTGATGTATTTTTGGACTTTTGATGCTAAGATACCGCTCACTGCAGTTGAGTGGAAAAAAGGTCTCTCAAACTCGCAGAAGAACACGGATGTTAACAAAACTTCACCAATCCTTCTATTGACAAAGGGGTGAGTAAATAATAACAAAAAAATCATCTTAGGGTGAACTATACCTTGTTGTTGTTTTTGCCATGCAAACTTGCTGGAAAATGTTTTATTGAAAAAAATATTTTTTCACTTAAGAAAAATAAATGGGTTGTTAAATTAAACAGTTGCCTCATTTTTGTTTTTTTAAAGTCATTGTTTCAATAAACAAAAACATTAAGAACAAATTTAGGCAATTTAAACTGCAGAAAAATGATGTAAAATGTTGTGTAAATGTTACTTAAATATAGTCCATAAATAAAAGTTAGACAAAGTATTTAAAAATGACCTTGAAAAGCCATTGGTTTTAGGTGAGATTGTTCAGTTTGAAGCAGTCAGAGTTGAAGTAAAACGTACAAAGAATGAGAGAGTAAAATTCCATAACCATATTAATAAACATCAGTAAATTACCTGAGGTTTGCTAGTAAAAGAGACTTATATCTGCGAGTAAAGTTTACTTGAAGATTGCCCTTGTAGAATTTACTTACAATTTCTAAGTGCAAAAACTTTCCTAGGTTTTTCCAAGTAAATATCACTCCAAATGTTTTTCAGTGTAGAGGTTATCACTGCTCATGATGGCTTTTGTTTAGCTGATCTGACATTTCTCTGCTCTCTAAATACATATATATATATATATTATATTTGTGTTGATGTATTTGTATGTTGTTGTTTCTCTTTCACTGCATAGATCCTTAAATTTAAAGCAGCAGACCTTCCTTTATTGTAGATAGTTTGTTCTTATCATTTTGTACATTTCTAAAGAAATCTGTAATTACATTTATTACATTATTTTAACATTACAATTTGCTAGAGGACATTTGTAGTTGTTGTCTATGTACAAATGAGGAAATGTGAGGTGTTACACAAATGGAATCAACATGATCATAATCAATAAAGAGATAAACAGCTGCTGTGCTCAAGAGGTTTGTATTTGATCCTCAATTTGAAACAAAGAAATGCATCTAAAAGAGTGGTGATCAGGGTTCCTGTAACTGTGATTGATTTACTGCAGCATCACAGGTAAAGTTACTCCACCTTTGTCCAGTACTGAAGTATTAAGCATCAATGACAACGTCAGATTGATTTAGTAAATCAAGCATCAAACTATTTTAAACACAGCCTCCTGTAGCTTCAGTTACTAGCTGAGTAAAAAGTAAAGCACTCTGTGTGGGTCCACATTTACATGAAGCACCGACGGAGCTCATTGGATTAAAAAAGTCCGTTTCAATTTAAAGTGTGAGCCGCTGTGAGGTGGAAGAACTGCCTTTATGAGTGGAAGTGAAGCTGTGGCTAACTGTGGGGGGAAACTGAGACTCTTGTGAGGGTAAAGAGCAGCAGGTCGGTGACTTTGTGCTGATTTTATACTTAAATATCTCAGTGGTCCCTGAAGGCAACA